AGGCAGCCCCATTGGGGTGAGGGGTAGGAAGAACCTCAGGGCCCTCGTGGGGCAAAAAGTGGGGCTTGGAGCCGTGGAGCTCAGCAGGAAGGGCGGTACGGCCCCGTCGGGGTGGGTGTTGCTATGGCTCAGGAAGTGGCGGCGGTGCGGAAGCTGTGAGCCGCACAAGGTGGGCTGCACACCAAGCATCGCACCATGGCGGTGCCCGGGGCTTCGCTCGTGCCCATGCTTTTGGGGCTGGGCATTTCCCTGGCCGCTGCCCACAGCCCCGCAGGTAAGGAGGGTTGGCTGCAGTGCTCTGTGGGTGGTGGGGATGGGGGAAATTGCTGCGCAGTGATGGTGGCTGAGGATGGGATGTGGGGCCATGTGGGCCTGCGTGACACCAGTGGTGTGTATCCGTGCTCCTGGCTCAGTGCTGCTGCACTGCTGCTGTCGCTGGCTCTGAGAGTGCCCATCCTCCATGTGGGTATGAATGGCCCCTGTGGGGCCTGGCCATTGGGGCAGCCTCGTGGCTGAGCATCCGGCTGTGATGAAAGCCCTTTGGATGCCGGGGGGCTGCAGGATGGCTGGGTGAAGGTTGGATCAGCCCTGTGCGTCAGCCTGGCTGTGCTGCGGTCAGCAGATCTGCGTGGCCTCCATTTGCATTGCTGCGGCATCAGCGGTGCGTACGTATGCAGGGGACGGGGGTGGATGGCTCCTCTGTGCCTCCTGTTATCTGCTGGAAGCTCATTTCTTGTCTATTGATCACGTACCCAGTTTCCATACCAAAGCGGCGCTCATTTGCTCAGCTCCACCATTTGCTCTGCGTTAGAAAATGGTAAACACTCATTTCCTCTGGCAAAGCAGCTGAGCGCAGCATCCTGCCGTAACCACAGCGCTGAGCTCTGGGCTCCTCAGAGTGGGCTCTGGGAGTTGAGCTGGGCTGTCCAGGGATCACTGAGGTGCTCCAGAACTGTGGGGATGTGGCACTGAGAGATGTGGCGATGGGCATGGTGGGGTGCCCTGGGGTTGAACTTGGGGGGATCGGAGAGGTCTTTTCCAACCTGAATGATTCCAGGGGTGGAGTGCATCGTGTTCAATGAGGAGTACATGACCTGCACGTGGGGCAGCGGGCAGACGCTGACGGCCAACTACTCCCTCTACTACTGGTGGGTGCCTGGGGCTGGAGGTTTCAGCTGCAGCCTCGTGGGGATGGGAAGCATTGGGATGGCTCTGGGAGGAGTGTGCAGGGTCCAAGGAGCACCGTCACTGCCGTGTGCAGGTATGAGAACAGGTCGCCCGTGGTGGAGTGCCAGCAGTACCTGTGGGAGCACGGTGTGCGCATCGGCTGCCGCTTCGAGCAGAGTGAGATCATCCAATTCAAGCCCTTCCACGTCCGCGTCAATGCCAGCCAGGATGGCCGCACCCTGGAGATCCCCAGCAATTGCATGGAGCTGCAGAACCTTGGTACGTGGTGGCGTGGGGACAGCTGTGGTCCTCAGGACAGCGGGGCCAGCAGGCCGTGAGGACAGCGTTCACCGGGCACCTCCTTTGTTTTGCAGTGAAACCAGGGGCACCTGTGAACCTGACCATCCGCAACATGAGCAGCAACCAGCTGCAGCTCACCTGGAGCTCTCCCTACCCCAACGCGCACTGCCTGGAGCACGTTGTCAAGTACAAGAGCAACAAGGACACCAGCTGGATGGTGACAGCCCCCACACCGCGCCTGCCCCTGGCCACGCGGAGCCGGCCCTCACCACCCACCCCTCCTCTCTCTGCAGAAGCAGGAGGTGAAAGGAGACATCTTCTCCTTCCCCAGCGTGGACTATGAGAAATACTACACCTTCTATGTGCGCAGCAAGATCAACAACTATTGTGGCAGCACCCAGCTGTGGAGCGAGTGGAGTGTGCCTGTCTTCTGGGGCAGCAACGCCACCAGCAAGGGTAGGAGCAGTCCTGAGCCCCCAGGGTCCCCACGGCATCCCCACGCTGTCCTCACAGTGTCCCCCTGGCTTGTTGCAGGTATGGCAGAGGAGCAGCTGCAGTGGTTCTGGATCCACACGGTGCTGATCCCCATCGCCTCCTGCCTGCTGCTGCTGGTCCTGGTGGTGCTGCTGGTGCGCATGGAAAGGTGGGTGCATGGCTGTGCGGTGCGGGGCGGTGCGAGGCAGCCCCTCTGACACCTCTCTGCTCCCATGCAGGGTGTGGGTCATCATCATGCCCCGAATCCCCAACCCCAGCAAGAACTTCGACGATCTCTTCATCACCCACAACGGTGACTTCCAGGTAAGCTGGCTGCCCTGGCTCACCACACCACACACCCACCTGACCCCTCTCACCCCGCTCTGTCCCTCGAGGAATGGGTCGGAGTCCCTAAAGATGTGGTGGAGAGTTTCAAGCCCAACTACAGTGAGAGCATCTGCCATGTGAGCGAGCTGCCCTACGAGCCCCTCCAAGACAATAGCACCCACCTGCCAGGGCTGCCTGGCCCCCAGGAGCACGGCCCCTACAAGAACAGCTACGTGGGAGCATGATGCTGGCACTCCTCCCCCAAAACACGCTGCTCCCTGTTCCCACCCTGCCAAGTGCCCAAGGAACCCCAGCCCTGCTCCTCACCATGGCTGCGCTCACAGCCCGGTGGCAGTGGATGGGAAGGGCAGCAGGCGGCAGTGGAGCAAGTAAGAGCCACCAGCCAGAGGTAAAGAGCACCGAGAGACACGCAAAGCGCTGAGAGCCACCCCAAGGGGACAAACCACAGTGTCACCCCAGCTGCAATTGTATGCTGGGCATGCATAAGCCTGGACGTGCACAAGCCTGGCCACTTGCTTGCTTGCGCTGTGGGTTTCCAACTTGCAGCTTCCAGCTGCAATAAAGCTTTGCCGCGCTTTGGTCTTGGCTGGTCTCATTTTGGGTTGGATGTCAGGAAAACATTGTTCTCTAGAAGAGCAGTCAGGCAGTGGAATGGGATGGGGGCAGGGGGACATAAAGATGTAGTCATGGTGGTGTCCGTGGGGGTGTTCCAGAGTTATCAAGAGGCAGTACTGAAGGACATGGTTGGTGGGCATGTTGGGAATGGGCTGAAGGATTCCCAGAGGTCTTTTCCAACCTGAATGACTCTGTGATTCTATGATTTTGGGAAGAATGGGGGAAACTCCAGAACGCCAGCCCCCAGAACCCCCCTCCCACCTTCACAAACGCTGTGGGGCAGCACCAGGCGCATCCCCACAGTGGCAGCATGTTCATCTACATCACCCACAGTGGTGAGTCTCCCACAGCCACAGGCTCATTCCGTGCCACCCCACTGGTGCTCAGGGTCCCCTTGGCCACCACTGTTTCCCTGCAGACAACCAGAGCTTCCTGGCCAACACCGACTGCCCCGTGCTCCTGCTGCTGTCTCACCTGCGCAGCAAAGTGGGGGTCCCCCCCAGTGGTGAGCATGGGGGTCAGCGGGTGGGCCCACAGGGGTGGGATGCTGTGCCCACGCAACGTGGCTTTTGCAGAGACCATTGACCTGTGTGACAAGCTGGGCAGCCCCAAGATGCTTTTCCAAGTGAAGACCATGCAGGACAGGGCAAGTGACTTCCTCCCGGCACGCAGCACCTACTATGTCTGTAGGGTTGAGTTTGGTGCCCCTGGTATGTGCAGGGTCTCGTGGTCCCCATGGGCACCTCAGTGGGGACAGGGGGCATAATAGTGCATCCCTGCAGGCACTGCACAGGAGCAGACAGCACAGTCCTTTGTGCCCATCCTGAAGAATCCCAGCATGGCGTTGACCGGTGGGTGAAGGGATGGGAATGCGTGGAGTGGTGTTCCCAGCCTGGGGCTGCTGCAGAACCCCCAGTCCCATTTCTGGTGCAGAGGCGTTGCGGCTGCATGGGCAGCACCCGCATCGGAAGCTGTTCCGTTCCCCAAAGACACTGGAAAGCAGGAAGGGACCAAGCACCGAGATGCTGCCCACTGCGGCCCACACTCAGGGAGCGGTACGGGGCGGTCGGCGGGATCGCATGGCGCTGGGGCCACCCCTGGTTACAGGGCCACCACTGGCCATGGGTCCAATGTGATCAGGGTCCCTTCCCACTTCCAGCACCCTGGACTGAAGGAGCTGCCCCATCCTCACACTTGCTGTTCCCATGCCACATCACCCCCAAGCCCCACCTTGGTTCTCCACCAGTCTTTGTCTCCATGCCACCATCTCCATCCCACTCTATGTGTTTGGAACACCATCCCTGGCCAACTTCGTGACCACATCCTTATGTCCTACTGTCTCCATCTCCTGCCCGTGGCCAACATCCTCTGACAGCCCCATTCCCGCAGTCCCCATTCCCTGCCATCCTGTGCCCATATCCTTGTGACCCGCTGCCCCCATTCCCATGGCCAGGTCCTCATGCCCCTTGTCCCCATTCCCTTGCCATCCCATGTCCACATCCTTGTGCTCCACCACCCCCATCCCCTTCCACACTCACACCCCATTCTCTGCCCCCTCCACACCCACATCCTCCTGTCCCATTGTCCCCATTCCCACGGCCACATCCCTGTGCCTCCTCCCCTCTACTGCCCACTCCCCAGAGTCCCACCGTCCCCATCCTCACGCCCCTCACCCCACACTGTCCCCTAAGCAGGGCAAGGCAGCAGGGAGGGGCACATCCCGACCCCGGGAGGAGCAGCACGGTTCTCCCCGCAAGACCACAACGGCAAAACCACAATGGGGGAGGCGGCAGCAGCCGCGGCGGCGCTGAGGCCCAATAAAGCAGCGCTCCGCACTCAAGCCGAGATCGTGCCACGTGGCTTCGGGTCCGACCCACCCCGCGGCGCCCCCTAGCGGTGGGGCATCCCAAGCCCAAGCCCTGCCTTTGGGCGTGGCCTCGGCGCAGGACGGACGGGTAACTTTCCACCCCTGCCCACATGGCGCTACCGCGCTTCCGCCCCCTCTGGCTCCGCCCCGAGAGGGAGCTTGGGGGCGTGGCTTCAGCATGACCCTCCCCCCCGGGAAGGTGATTGGAAGAGGCGGAGCAGACGCCACGCCCCCTCCCGGTCCGGGCTGCAGCGGTGCCCGGCTCGGCAGTGCCGGCGGCCGGGACTGGACGGGGCGGGCGGGGCTGGACTGGACGGGACGGGTCGGAGCGGAGCGGGCGGGGCAGTGCCGGCAGCAGGCAGAGAGCATCGGCACGGCGGCGCTCGGCGCGGGCTCACCATGATCGTGTGTCCCCAGAGCGTGGAGCACCCCCGAGGAAGCCGGTGCCAGCGGCTGCCGGGGCAGGTAGGACCCGCCCCGCCGCTACCGGAGCCCCCACCGGGCCCCGCGCTCGACTGTGCCCCGGTCCTGCCCGCAGCACCGGCCCTGCCCGCAGCTCGGCCGCCGCCCCTCCCCGGGCCGCGCCATGCTCGCCGTCCGCCGCCGGGGCTCGGGGCCGGCGCTGTCCCGCAGCGGGGCCCGGTGCCGGTGCCGGTATCGGTGCGGCGGCGCCGTCCCCTTTGTGCGGGATGCGGGAGGCGCCGTGCCTCCATCACTGCCAATCAAAGTTGTTTTTCTCTCTCCGCCTGCACTGCCCGCGCTGCGCACCGGGGGCGCTGCCGCCGCCGCTGCTCGCACAATGGGGCCCCGGTTACCGGCAGCCCTCACCGGTTACCGGCATTGCCCTCGAGACCGAGACAGCGGGACGGGGGCTGCGGGAGGGCTGGCGTCACCGGCGGGGCGCAGGGAGCCGGGAGCCGCCTCGGGGAGGGGTCGGGGGGAGCCCTCCGGTGGGTTCCTGTGCACCAGGAGTGGGGGAGGAGGCGGGTCCCGGCCCCGACGGCTGCCGTCGAGGGGCAGCGGCTGGAACCGGGCGCTGGGATGCCCGGAAGGGGGTCGGGGACGGCTGGGGACGGCGAGGTGTGGCGGCACTTGGGTGTGAGCGGTGAGGCCATGGGGATGCTGGAACAGCCCCAGTGCTGGGAGGGGATGTGGGTGGGAGAGACTGTCAGGGTGGTGGGGCTGGATGGCAGCCCTGTCCCCATGGCCCACACGTGGCTATAGGGCTGCTCTTAGTTCTTCTGCACCCGGAGAGAAGAAGCCATCACGCCTGGTGGCCCTGGCACCAAGCTGGGAAGCTCCATGCACAGCCAGGGCAGCTCGCTGCCAGCCTTTGCCCTTGGGATACAGAAGCTGGCGTTCCTCATCCCCTCTTGGTTTTCCTTTTTTTGCCGTCCTTTGCCCTCAAACCAAAAACAAAGCTCCAAATGGCACCTGAGCAAAGCACTGACACCTGAGTGACTGCATTTGCTACCAGCAATGGTACAAAATAGCCACGGCTGCATCCCGCGCTGCTCCTCCACGGGTGTGATGGACTGCAGCTAACCAGGCCTGACGCGGCAGTGATGGGCACCCGGGCTGGGCTCCGAGGGCATCCTCTCTCTGACTGCACAGGGACCCCCTGATCCCCTCCTGTGCTCCCACAGGTGGTGAAGATGTCTGGCGGCGAACCCGAGCGCCCTCAGTTCCTCTTTGTGAAGGCTCTGGCGAGCCGGGGCCGGCTGGAGGCAGTGACCCAGCAGATGGGCTACCACCCGCGCTACCTCGACAGCTTCCTGAAGACGCAGCACTACCTGCTGCACATGGACGGCCCGCTGCCCTTCGACTGCCGCCACTACATCGCCATCATGGTGAGCCCATCCCGGCGGCCCTCGGATTGCTCTGCAGAAGCCAACTGGTGGGGGTGAGGCGGCTGCTCCCCATAGGGCTGACGTTTGGTTCTTGCAGGCGGCCGCGCGACACCACTGCCGGTACCTGGTGAACCTCCACGTGCTGCAGTTCCTGCGGGCGGGGGGGGATCCCCAGTGGCTGCGCGGTCTCGATTTCATCCCCCCCAAACTGCGCAACCTCAACGAGATCAACAAGATCCTGGCGCACAGGCCCTGGCTCATCACCAAGGAGCACATCGAGGTAGCAGGGATGCGCGGGTCGGGTGCGGATGGGGTGCCCGCACTCTGCCTGCCCGCCGTGCATCGCTGTCCCGTCTGTCCTGCAGAAGCTGCTGAAGATCAGCGAGTGGAGCTGGTCGCTGGCAGAGCTGGTGCACGCCGTCGTCCTCCTGGCGCACTGCCACGCACTTGCCAGCTTCGTTTTCGGCTGCGGTTGTGAGCAGGAGGAGGGGCCGGGGGGTAGGGGCTCGCTGAAGCCCTCTCCACCTGGGAACCAGTGCTTCTGCGAGGCCGCCATGGGGAACGGCTGCGGGCAGGAGCTGCTGCGCATCAACCGCAAAAGGGTGAGCCCCTAGGGTGGGACTGCGAGGATGGGGATGGCGTGGGAAGTGTCCCATCCTCACGGTGTGCCGTGCTCCTGTGCAGTCCCTGGACTCCTGCATGGAGCTGGACTCGCTGCGGGAGCGCGTTCAGAGGATCCACGTGGAGACTGAGGGCAGGGAGGAGACGAGGCCGCTGCCGCCGGACCGCGAGGAAGGTGAGGGGGTGCGGGATGGGAGCATCGCTGCCAGCAGTGCCTGGGAACGGGGCAGCACCAACCATCTGTGGGCTCTCCCCACTCAGATACTGACGGGGAGGTCACCGGTGCCGCCAACCTCGCGTGCTATCTGCAGGACCCTGACTTTGGGTACCAGGACTTTGCGCGGCGCGACGAGGAGCAGATGCAGGTATTCAGAGTCCAGGTGAGGCTCCTACACTCTCCTCCTATCCAGGGAGTGGGTGGGTGCTCATGGGGTGCCTACATGGCCCCAAAATGCCCAAACAGAGCTCTGCCCCACCATGGGACAGAGGGCTGGGAGGCATGGTGACTGCTTACCTGTGCCCTCGAGGAACACTGCATGCCCCCTCTGGGCTGGGTGTGGGTTGGCACTGAGGTGCTGGTCAAAATTGTTCCCAAGCTGCTTGGTGAGGGATGCTGTGACTTGTGGCAGAGCAAATCCTGTGAATTCTGCCACATCCCGAGGTCTTTGACAGCCCTTTTTCCCAGGAACATGCCTCAAAGTCTTTTCTGCAGTGGCAAAAACCTCTTGCTGTGTTCAACAGGATTACTCCTGGGAAGACCATGGCTTTTCGCTGGTGAACCGGCTCTACTCTGACATCGGGCATCTCCTGGATGAGAAGTTCCGCATGGTGGATGGTCTGCAGAGCAGTGCCATGGCCAAGCGGCAGGGCTGCGAACCCTCGGTCTTCAAGCGGGGCATCTGGAACTACATCCACTGCATGTTTGGCATCAGGTAACGACAGCAACCTCGTGGTCCAGGGGAAAAAGCCAAGTCAATCCAGGTGGGAAGAGAGTGGGCTTCTCCTGCTGTGTGCCCAGATGTGTGGAGGTGTTCTTGTGCATGGGCTTGGAAGAGACATAATGATGCAAGTGCACAGGCTGCCCAGGGAGCTGTTGTGCACCATCCCTGCTGGTGCCTACAGCTGGGCTGAATGAGGCCCTGGGCAGCCTGAGCTGGTGGGAGGCACCCAGCCCCTGGCACGGGTGGGACTGGGTGGACTTTAAGGTCCCTTCCTTAACCCAACTGCTCTATGACTATGCATGGCTGCTGCAAGGTGCTGCACAGATGGGGCTTCGGTGCTCAGTGGACAATGTTATGTCCCTGCCCCATGGCTGTGACGTGTCCCAGATGGACCACAGGACAGGTGTGTGGTTGGGGCCAGGTGCTGGCTGTGACTGCCCCGTGCCCCCTGCAGGTACGATGACTACGACTATGCAGAAGTGAATCATCTACTGGAGCGAATGCTGAAAGTTTACATTAAAACGGTAACCTGCTACCCAGAGAAGACAAACCCAGAAATGTTTGACAGGTTCTGGAAGCAGTTCAAGCACAGCGAAAAGGTAGGGCATCCGCTGTGCCTCAGAGAGGGGTTGAGCAAGAGCTGAGGGTTGGGATGCTCAAGGAGAAGAAACCTTTAAGCCACCAAATGAGAGCAAGGGGAAAATGGAAACAGGCTGTTCGTAAGGAGTTGGGTGTGATGTGTTGTGGCACAGGGCCACCAGCAGCATGGGGAGCTGAGAGGTGGTGATCCCTTGGTGGGCAAGCCCTTGGTCTGGCTGTAATCTGTAGCAGTGATGTGCTGATGCCCAGTGTGCTAGGAGCTGCCCAGGACACAGCTCTGGCAACAGCCACAGGCTGCAGGACAGGAGGGGGAAAGTGCATCTGCCCGTGCTGGAAAACCTGAGAGCGTTTTGTCCTTTGCCAAATGACTCCTTAATCTGGGTGGGTGCTTGCTGCATGAGCTTCTCCTGCTTCTCCTCCAGGTCCACGTGAACTTGCTCATTCTGGAGGCCAGGATGCAGGCAGAGCTGCTGTATGCACTGCAGGCCATCACCCAGTACATGGTCTCGTAGGCGGTGGGAGCTGCGCTGCGGCAGGGCCGGGCAGCATCCTCTCTCCCTGGACTTGTGTGTGACCCGTCGTGCTGGGACAGACGGCGAGGGATGACTCCATTTAGTTTACTTGACTGTCTTGTTCCTTCTATTTTTTTTTTTTTCCCTTGTGGGGCACGCTGAGTGGCCCTGTTACGTGCAATTACCAAACTGTGAGGCAACTCCGTGCTGCTGAGATGTTGGTGTGATGCTGAAGACTTGAACCTCTCCATGGAGGACCGCCAAAGACACGGGTGGGGTGTCAGGAGGGGACCAGGCTGTGTTGGAGGGTTAGGATGAGCAGCAGTTCCTCACCCCGTTCCTGCAGGAGCTTTGCTTTCTCCCCTGTTGACAGCCTCCATGGAGGCAACATCTTGCTTAGGAGCCAGGTGGGTGCACTGCAGTGTGCCAGGAAGGGGCTGCGCTGGGTCCCAGCCCAGCACAGGGAGGGGATGCACTTGCTGCTGTGCCCACGTCCTGCCATCCATGTCCACGTGCCAAACAAAACCCTGTGGGTCTGTTTGACTGGGTCAGTTTGGAACCAATTCCAACCCATGAAGCTCTTGTAGGTGGGTGCCCTTGGCACTCCTTCAGCAGGATGAGAGAGCCTCTGACAGCCTTCAGGCTCTGGAGGGTTGCACAGAGGACTTGTGGCTGTCTGCAGGGTTGTTAGTCCTGAAGCCCACGCTGCTTCCTGTTGGTGGAGGTTCAAGAGAAATGAGGGAGGCTTCCTGAGTTAACACAGAGCTGGCATCTTCCTCTCACAGCCACAAGGGCTGGGGTCCTTCGCCCAGCCGTTTGCTCTTAACAGCCCAGCTGAGCTAAGGGAAGCCCTAGCCATAGGCTGGGGGCTCCTGGGGCTGCCCCGGGTGAGCAGCACCAGCCCAGCCTACCAGGAGCTTCCTGGCCCAGGGCTGCTCCATGCATGTGCACAGCCCAGAGCTGGGGGTGAGGGAACCTGATTTCCCCTGGGCACAGGAAAGCAACTGCAGGAGGGGTTCAGGGCCCCCCATCATCAGCAGGAGTCTGAAGTGAGGGCAGCTGTAAGGTCAGCCCAGTGCACGCTGCTTCAGTCGACCTGTTTACTGCGTAAATGTACGGGGAGAAAACCTTGTGTATGGAAGCTAAAGAAAAAGCCTATTTTTGCTATAAATATATTATGTTTGACATGGATGTGTGTTTTCTTTCTGGCTGGGGCAGGATGTACTGGGATGGTGCTGGTACGTGGATGGCTGTGCTGGGCAGGGCTGGGTGTGCTGCCCAAAGGTGCTGTAACATCCCAGCTAAGCTTTGCAGTGGGGAATTCCAGCACCAGGGACTGCACCACTGGAGAAATGGTGACATCATCTATCAGAAAGGCATACAGAACTCAAGCATCCATTAGGTTGGAACATAGCAGGGCTGGGCAACTAGCTCTGCTCTCCTTGGCAATGCTAAGATGAGCGTAAAACCTATTAACAACCACTGGGAGGGAACAAATGTTCCCCTGTTCTATGTCAAATCTGGAATTAATCCTCCCTGAACCAATCAACAACTGCAGAATCCACCCCGTGTATTTTCTTTTCCCAACTGCACCAAACTGAGTGCTTGAAGGAAGCCCCAAGAACCATCCCAGGAACAGGTGTGGGAGTCAAGTTCCCCTGAGGATCTCCTCCTATATTTGGAGATCAGCTTAAGACTTGAAGCAGGAAGCTTAAGATCCTTTTAAAGAGTTACCAGCAACCACTGATTTCACACTTTTTCAATGGTGGTCTTTCCTCAGACCTTGCTGAATACCAAGCTACCCACACCTTTTAATACAAGTATCTGACCATAAAGATCTGGAGACAGTGACATTGGAGTACATAAGGATGGAAGCTCACTGACATCCTAATGGACAGCATCTGCTGGATGGAGCAGCAACTCCACCTCTGTGCTCCTAGAGACAGCCAGCACAACTGCTGACACTTGGTGGAATACAAGTGAACACCAAACATCTCCATGCAAAGTGAACAGAGCCATTTGCACTCAGGTCAAGGAGGACAAGCCCTGAGCAGGTCAGCACAATTCCAGAACAATCCTGCAGAAGTTACAGCTGCCCAGGGTCAGCTTTAGAGCTTGGCAGCACCACTGGCACCAAAGAGATCTGCACACTTAGGAGCACACTGCAGCTCTCACAGGGCACACAGTCTGCCCTGATAGCGTGGGGAGGTGAAGGAAAGAAGCTGAAGGCAAGGAAAATCAATCAGTAAAAAAAAACCACAAACACAATAAAAATGGGCCCCCATCAGCACACCAGAACAAACCGCATGAGACACAGAGTAGAGGATTACAGGTTTTTTATTTGTCAAACATTCCCCCCTAGTCTAGCACATTCTACAGTCTTGCTAGCACAGATGGTAACAAAGAGCCTGTAATGGTTCAGAAGTTACACTGCTACAGAGAGCAAACAAAAGCAGAGATTTATTATGTAAAAAAAAAAAAAAATTCTCTTGAGAAATGGGTGAAAGTGTGCAGAGGGGGATGGGGTGGGAAAGGCATCTGCTCGTGGTGCCCATCCTACGTGCGGTGCCTGCGCTGGCAGTGCAGAAAGCTGTGCTGGAAGCACCTCTTCCCCAAACCAGCCCCAGCTCTCAGAAGAAGGCTGCTCCCAGCAGAAGTGCCCTACACCCTGCAGAGCCAGACCTCTCCAGACACACTGGGAGCACCAGCTGTGGCCATGCCCTCCTGCTCGGCACCACAAGGGTCCCTTTCTCCAGGGTTATGAGCTGTAGTGATGAGTTACACACGCTACTGAGCTTCCAGGCACCCGGAGTCACCTCCTGCTTGCTTTTCCCCACGTGAATCAGAACAAACTTTTCACCAGACACGCAGCTGAGGCAAACCCTACGCCATCCCTGTTCAGGTTCACGTCCCAAAATTGATATGAGTGTTTTTTTTGGATAATGGTCCAAACTTGCACATTATTTCGGTGACCCCCCTCTCCCCAGACACCCCCACCCGCAGCACCAGACACAGGTTTCTCCCTCCTGGAGCAAGGCTAGCCCTGGAGCATTTGAGTGTGACTATAAATAAGCACTTAAGTAAGAAAATGAACAAATCATGATCTATAGAAAAGCTTTCTAGGCATTTCCTTTGGAAAAGCTGATTAGTGCTACTTGCTTCTAGCATGAGCCTCAGTTATGAGCACAGCTGGGCTCCGGAATGCTCCCACTGCATTCGTTGCTCTCAGCAGAATGATGGCACTGCTGTTTGTGAAGCAGCCCAGGCAGGGGACTAAAACCAGCGTGGTTTTAGACACACCAGCTATGGAAATTAAGGGCTCTAAGCAGCTTTCAATAGCCCAAACTTCGACAGGGAGCTGGTAGTAGTGAAATACGCTCAAGTTATGAAGAAGTCTCAAGCAATTAGCTAAACTCAGGCGTAAATGAAAGCAATACGTGTGCCTCCCAGCAGGCTCCATGGGCAGAACCCTTCAGACCCAGAGCACGCAGCCTCACGCTGCGGAAGACAGCATTTGATCCTCTGGATGCAAATGGAACTTGGTACGGTGAGGACAGGGAAGGTGCACACAGCACGGCGGAGGGCTTCATGCCAGGAGCCCCCCAGGCACTTGTCAGGGAGCAGCAGTCCCCACAGCAGTGTCCCCTGCCCTCTTTCCCCACCAGGCTCAGAGCTGCTCCCTGACCCCAGCCCGATCCCTGCTTACAGGAACAGCCCCCATACGTCCCTGTTGGTCATTGCTGCTGACTCAGAGGAACGACCCACCGAGATGCTGTGCTGCACTCGGCATCTGTTGGAAGCCAACACTTTGGGAAAGGACACAAATCCCATGGAAGTGCTGAGTGAGACCTCCCAGCCTTCAGCAAGCGGTGGTTTAAGAACTTGAAAGTCCTTTATGTCCTATGAGGAAACATCCCAGGCTAGAAAAGCTTTATGAAGGGGAAGTTATTTGAGAAGGGGTTGGAGAACTCCCAAATTCTCTGCATCTCTGCCCTCGGTGACCGGGATCCAAACTGCCCTGCCACACATACCAACAAGCAGACAATCTGCCCGAGCCCATAACACTGCATTCCCTGAGCACTCCTTCTGAGCACCATCCTCAGCACCAGCTCCAGCTCCTTCAGCCCCTGCCAGCTGCTCTTGCATTGAGGATGGAGAGCACCTGTTGCTAACAACGCCCTTCCTATTGCTTTGGGCTCTGTTTTCATGATAAAGGCATTAGAGTCACACTGAGCAGCTATCCTGTCCTTGATACACAGCTGTGAAGCAGCAGAACCACCCCTAAGCACAGCAGCCATCAGCTCATTCTGCACATCATGGGACTTGTCTGCCCTGGGGGTCCAAGCAAACAAAGTGGCCTATTATCCACCCGAAAACCCAAATCCCACCGGATCTATTAAGTGAATCAGCATAATGGCCAGTCATTATGTGCAATACATGCCATATGTAGCATGAGGTGTTTGTGGAAAGGCTATCTGTCGATTTGAGTAAGGAACTAATTGCAGTGAGAATATGCATCCGTGGCTCAAGACCTGGTATCCCAGCTCATGATCTGCCTCCTCAACGTTTTTGGTTTTGCTGCAGCGAGGTGTGGCCAGACATGCAGATGGTGGATTATTTTTAAGTGCATTGCCATGAGGTCTGCCACAGAGACTGCCTTCAAAGCAGAGGTTATCAGACTACGCAAGGGCTCTGATGGCCAAGCGTGCTGAGGATAAGGCTGTTGAAGACTCCTTGGTGCAGGCAGGCAGACAAACCACTCCCAGTGTTCCAAATCTCCACTCAAATGAAAACGAAATGAGGTCCATGACAACAGAGCAGACAAGGTGGCGAGACAACATGGCTCACGGCACTGCACGATGGAAACCGGAGCAGAAACCATCTCCTCCTTCAGCAAAGAGCCCAGAGGGGTTCTGCCAGACCCAGCCTACTGGAATACCCTAAAAGCACCACCAGCTCTCACCAGGTCCTGCCACTGCCAGCACCAAATGGTAGCAGAAGTGTGCCAAGTGAACTGGTCTCCTCTTTCCTAGCTTCTGTCCTGCAAGAACCAAGAGATGGGACAAGATCTGACACAGCCCCGAGGTGATGCTCCCCAGCAGCACAAGAAACCCCAGCAACAAATAAAATCACAGAACCCAAGGTGATAGCTGCCAAACACACCGGCCAGTGCTCACCATCGCTCTGCCTGGAACTCCAGCAGATGGAGCACAGCCAAACCCACAGCATCCCACAAACGGGAATCCCTGCAACGCAGCCCAGCTACCAAAGGGACGAGGAGTGCAGTTAATGGCTGGCATCCCCCAGCACAGTGGGAATGCTGCATCCAGGGGACCACACGAGAAGCTGTGGCTGAATGCCATGCTGGTGCCTTCCACTTGCTTTAGGGGAGGCAGTATTCCCAGTTACACTGCAGTGCTCTTCCCACTTGTACTAATGACATCTTCAGCTTCTTGGCCCAAAATGCCTTAGGCCTGTCCCCTCCCACTCTGTAGTGTTATCTGCTATCCAGGGGACAGATGCAGCAAGTATTGGTTTGTTTTTTGTTTTTTTTTTATCCAATAATCTCATTCTCAATTAAAATATATAATATATATTTAAAAAGGTTTAGAAAAGCTTCTATGTAATTTGCAGCTACTTTTACATATAGATTACAATAATGTACAACCTTCCCCACACGGCTGTTGGAAACTGTGGGGATCTGCCAACTCTCCCCTCAATCATACACATTATCCAACATCAAATATGTTTGTTCCTAATACAGCTCTGAAAAAGAAGTCTGTCACTGGCACCTCCTCAGAGGCTCCTGATACGCCCAACGGGGACACACTTAACATTGGCTTCATATTCACTGTAGAAAGTTCCCAGATTAGTAAAAAAATATTTCATCTATAGAAAATGCCCTTCTGAAAAGCAACCAGGGCTCTGTTAAGGCCACACCCAGGCTTTCCCCTTCTCTGTTGTAGCATGACAGATGAGAAACAAACCCCCAGATGATGCTTTCGCGTCCCATAAACAGCTATTGGCACCCGTGCCTATTTTACATCAGCCTGGCGTATTGGGAATGTGCTGAGAACAGCATAGGGACTTCTGTGAACATGCTTAGGATTCAACAGGGCACAGTTGGCATAGTGGAAAACTCAACACTGCTCCTCTCAGATGAATGAAGGAAGCCCCTAATGCCACAACCA